AGCATACCATTTTTATTCATTCTATAACGTGGAACCTGTCGTGTAGACTACTATTCGGCGATTCGGCACCATCGAGAATACTGGATCCCACTATGGAAGATTTGGTGGTCGATTTGACTCCCCCCTTACCGCAGATATTAACTTCCAACATCTATGCTCGGAATTCATAACGCTAACTTGACCCATTTCCTTCCAGGTCCAATTTCGATCAAAATCCCCTCATCTCATCGTACATCCGTACGGCTTGAGAAAAGAAACCGAGCTCATAATCTCGACTGATGCCTCACAACTGCGTAACAGCATGCCAAAGTTGTTCATGTTGTGGCGATACGTTGGAGTGTCATGCCTGTCTCTACTGCGTCCAGTTCTCGGAACATCGTACTTCATCCATGTTCGCTATGTGCTTACGTACACATTTATACTAAGTTGAGCAAGATAGCACAAGATAGCTAGAGTAAGCTGCGACTAATAAGTTGATCAACAGGAGTATGTATATGTCGTTCGCCATATTAATGGATTACAACTTTTTTAGTATTATCGGGGTGTTCAGAGAACCCATTCCGAAATTCATAACACATTCCAGAATGCAAAACACCAAAACCGCGTTTAGTAACAGCCCCCCTAATACATTCTGGAAAGAGTTCCAGAATAGATTCCGCAAGTGTTTGTTGTGATATACTCATATCTCGCTCGTCTTGTGATTCATATCTCGTTCGCCTTCATGCAATCTGCATGAATCGTGCATGTCCATGGTGGAAGTTAATTACGTTGTAACACTCACATCTTCTTGTGTTAACCGTCTACATGGAAGACAACCTGGTGGAAAACCTCCTCGCTCTTCCTGGTCTCTCGTCTGCTGACCATCTACCTCTTGTCCTCGCTAGTGAGCTCGAGGTCGTCCTAAGCTCCCAGGTCGAATTCCCCATTGCGACCAAAGCCCAGTATCGCGCCCTCCATGATAACGCTTGCATGCACGCGACGGCCCCCTGCCCCTTCTCTCCCTTCTACCTCGTTTACGACCTCCGACGCTCACTCTACCTCGGTTACGAGTCACTGGGGTTACCGTTCGACTAGTACCGCTTCTGCCACTCCTCTTGGCGTGGGTAAACGTGTCCAATCTCTTACCAGTGTCAAGTCGATACCTGTTTCTGACGCGACCCTCCTACGCTGAGCATGTCCTCAAACGTTCTATCACTTGGTTCCTCACTTGTCTACAAGCGGAGTCTGTTCAGTATCAACTTGGTTGTACCTTACGTCTGCTCTCGCTGAGGGACTGCGGTCAGCTGGTCGCGCTCATGTTCGTGCTCGTTTGGGTGACTCGTGGCCCACTAATAACGACCTCATGACCAAGAGTTTGCTACTTGGTGCATGGCCCAGTATCAAGGCAGTGATGATCATGGGCGCTTGGAAGAACGACTTGCCGCCTTTCGTCAGTTGCAGAGCGAAGCGCCACTGGCCTGTCTTGAACGCTTTGAAGTTCTCTTAGCTCAAGCAACAACATGTGGTCTATCACTGGCCCCGTCTCAGCTTGAACGATGCTATCGTTTAAGTTTACTCCCTGAATACAAACGCATCGCGAACTCTATAGCGACGGAGATCATTACGACGCCACCGGGAAGCCGGTACTCATCTATTGGGAACCTTTCGTCACTCATCAGGTTATCCTAGGGCCTTCTAGTGGTCGTGATATTCTACGCCTGGCCGAGATTGGGTTATTGCTCCTAACGACTGGTAGTTACGTCTCTGCTGGACTTTATCTAACAACGGT